GCGTTGAATTTAAGCTCAATAATTTGACAATGTGATTGTCAAGGAAAATTTTATGATGCGTTCACAATTGATTACCTAATGAAAATGACACTCATGTCATAAAATATAATTATATGGGAAAATCGGTCATTTGCTTGTTAAATCAATAATTTAATAGTTTTGTCATTGAATTTATTTAAACTAGTTAACAAGAACTTAAAGAATTAGTTTTCTCGGTATTTTATATCAATGACATGCTACTAATTGAGTATGATATGAGTTGTTCTAAACGGGCTGGGATTTTAGATTGGCAAGGAAGACATATTTGATGTTGGGGTTTAGGATTTGGTGACCAAGGAAGAAATCAGATTGATTGAGGGTTTTCATTTTCATTTTCTTATTTAAATATATAGGTAAATATGTCTCATTAGGGTTTATTTATTTATTTTTAATTATAATCATGGGTGTTCGTGTCAACTTACGCACCTTGACTAATCTTATAACAACCTTTAAGGAAACTAGAACTAGTGATTATTGATGAACAAACCCAAGATTTGATCATTGGACTATTCATCAGGGTTGTCTCATTAGGTTTTGTTTAATGGATTGTATAAACGGATATCATGATTGAAAATAAATATGTTATATAAATCATCAAATTCGAATACTTCATACGTCAAATTGAAGATAGATTTGTATCAATTTTTATACCGATAAAACTTAATTAATATAGTTAAAATTATAAGTTATACTTAATTTTTTTCATATTTGTTGATAACAAGATATTAAATATATGTATATTAGACAATTAAAAAAAATTAAATGTACATTCAACAAAAAAAAGTAATTTATAATATGAAACAAATAAAAAAAGAAAACAAATCTATCTCTACAAAATTGAGATAACATTTAGTTCATGTTTGAAAATGATTAAAATCGAATTTTTAGTAGATTTTAAAAAAAAAATTAATAAAATGTGTCCGTGAAAATTTATGAATCCCAAAAATATGTGATTATAATTTATTATTAATTGAATTAAAATCTGAATTTAATTAATACATGGTTTTAGTGTCATAAAGTCCCATTAATACTCATATCCTCATCCTTTTCCACTAAAGTGTCGAATCATATTCAAACCCTCCTAAAACACAAAAGCACTTATCACGCGCCTAACTACCGCGTGAAACATCCTTCAGCTACTCCATGCCCATCATGAAAATTATGTACTGTCCACCCGAAAAAATAAAAAAAAAATAAAAATAATCCTCTTTATTATCCGCTTCAGCCTTCCCTTATAAGCTCGAGCTTTCTCAAGCTTTTTACCATTTCAAAAATACCACGAAAATGAGAAACAAAGGAAAAGTTCACCCCTTAATTTCTTCATCTTCATCTTCATCGTACAGTGCTAGCAAGGATGTTTTGCCCGTGTTAAAGCTACTGCCTGCTGTTTAAGAGCATTCAAACCTTTTGTACCAATGTGACCAAGTCTACCATGCCATAACTTTGCTAGATTAAAATCATCATTTAAAACTGCATTAGACAGACCCATAAGAGGTTTAGCATTTAAGAAGTATAGACCATGTCTCTTTGGGATAGAAGTGACTAAATCACTTCCCCTAAAGATTTTTATTTGTCCTTGACCCAATTTTATGTCAAACTCCATATCATCTAACATTCCTAAGGAAATTAAGTTTCTTTCTAAATCTGGTACAAATCTAGTATTTTCTAAAAGTAAGATTCTGCCATTTTCTAAAAGAAGTTTTATGGTTCCAATGCCTTTAACTTTGCAAGTCATGTTGTTCCCCATGACAACTTGTCCTCCATTAGACTTTTCAAAATTTAGAAAGTAGTTTTTCTTAGGACACATGTGGAAAGAACATCCTGAATCTAGGATCCACTCTTGATTTAAGTTTCTTTCAACATTAACAAGGACTAAACCATTGTCAGATTGAAGTGTGTCATATGACATAACAGTATTTCCTTCACTGACTTTCTTCTCTTTAGAATCATTCTGTTTTTTATAGCAATCCTTAAAACCCTCCTAAAACACAAAAGCACTTATCACGCGCCTAACTACCGCGTGAAACATCCTTCAGCTACTCCATGCCCATCATGAAAATTATGTACTGTCCACCCGAAAAAATAAAAAAAAAATAAAAATAATCCTCTTTATTATCCGCTTCAGCCTTCCCTTATAAGCTCGAGCTTTCTCAAGCTTTTTACCATTTCAAAAATACCACGAAAATGAGAAACAAAGGAAAAGTTCACCCCTTAATTTCTTCATCTTCATCTTCATCTTCATCGTACAGTGCTAGCAAGGATGTTTTGCCCGTGTTAAAGCTACTGCCTGCTGCTATTTTCGCTTTAATATCGCTTCTTCCCTTTGAAGACCGTGAAGTTTTGGCTTATATGATAAGCCGATCTTTAAAGTTGACAAACCCGCCGGACGAGAAGAAGAAATCTCCAAAGAATAGTCACGGGCATAAGCCGCCGGCTTCTTTTGACTGTGAGTGCTTTGATTGTTATACTAGCTTTTGGTCTCGGTGGGATTCTTCACCCAACCGTGAGTTGATTCATCAAGCTATTGAAGCTTTCGAGGAGCACTTGAACAATGGGGAACACTCGAGGAAGAGTAACAATGGCAAGAGGAAAAAGGAGAAATTGCGTCGTCGGAAAGGAGAGAAAGTAGCTGACGGTATTGGCGTTCCTGATTTTCCAGCGACGGAGGGGAAAAGTAACAGCCCTGTTTCTCTTTTGCCGGTGCCGGAGACTGAGTCAGCACCGAATGAAGACGACGTGGCGGCGAAGAGTGGGGAAGGTGAGGTGAAAGAGGTAGTGGTGGCAAAGGAGCTGTCGACGACGCAAGCGGCACACAGCCACAAGGGTTTAGCGAGAAAGGTGTTGCCGGACGTATTGGGATTATTCAATTCCCGTTTATGGGGTCTTTTATGGGGTCTTTGGAATCCAAATGTGTAGAAAAAAATGGAAAAATCCCCTTCTGTTTTTTAAAATTCTGATTGGAAATTAAAAGAAGAGCTACTTCTTCACCAATATATAACTGTTTCCTTTCTATATTATAAAATTATTCTCTCTCTCTCTATATATATATTTGATTATTTATATGTTAGTTGCATTTATTTTTTCGATTATAGTTGTTGTTTTTTTCCCCCTTTTCGTGGCTGGTATTCATTTTCTATTTATTTCAAGAAATTGTATTTTCTTGATGCTGCATTAAAATAATAAAATCTTTAAAGAAAGTGTAAGTTTTTGCTTAGTGGCTAAGTATATTGAGTAGGTAGAAAAATCTGTCTACATATACCAATCAGAAAAGGAAATGTGGATTGTAAAATTTGTGATATGAGGTGAATGCGAATCATTCTATGCGTTTCTTTGGGATTCCTTTAGGCGTGGAATCATTTGAGAGTATTGATTTTCACTTCTTTTTTTCCTAATTTTTTAATGCAACTTTATGGAGAACCCTAATAATTTCAAGAATTAATTTTGACTTTTCATTAGGTGTGGAGCGTAAAAAATTCCACTATTATATTCGCACTGCTTTTATACATAATAATCTACCATTCACTTATCTTTTTATAATTTAAATTATTTAACATGCCTAATCGAATACTCTAATATTATCAAAATTGAATGTGATAACTCCCTTGACCTTTTGTCTTTTGAAATTGGCGAAAGCTCCATATATGACCTTTTACTTGCGTAAGATGACCTTTGACGTCCCAGCCCATTATTGGAGATGTTAATTACATTTAAAGATGATCAAAATGAATAGATTTAAAAGGGCAAAACGATCTTTCCTTATCCCTCCACTTATTAAGACGTTGTTTGTTTGGAGAAAGGGTACAAGCAAGATATTACTAGTCACCTTCAGAACAAACCCACGATCGACGACAACTATGCACGATATCACCCATGATTGGAGCGATTTCATTTGTTGAAGGTCTCTCATCATGCCATTCTATATATCCTTTTGCAAAAGTATCTTAAATTTTTAGCATTTGTAGTTTGACTTTTACATTGAAAGTTTAATTTTTGAAATGGGTTTATCAAATTAGTTTATTAATGTTATGTACTCAGTTTTCTTCCACATTTATCAAGGATGTCTGCTCCTAAAATAAGAGATGTTGAACATAAAATTCCTCAGTATGGTTAGTACCCGTGTTTTGCCTATTGAAATGACTTAATACAACCAATTTGTTATCTGTAGTTGTTCGAATTTTTTCCTTACGTGTATGCATGTTGATTATTGTGGACTTTTGATTTAGTTCCAATAATAATTTGTTTTTTCATCTACATGTAGTCGAATATACTGACTACTTCACAATGGCAATTCATAATAAGATTTTTTTTTTCCGATAAACCAAATAAAGTGATGTTCTTGGACTATGTGAAGCCTTCTTACTTCAACATATGTGTGGAGATTGTGGATCTCTGGACTTCTTAAGGAGGCAGGGCCGGTCCTGGGCCGAGGCAAATGAGGCCTGCGCCTCAGGCCCAAGACCATAGGGGGCCTATTTTGGTCCAATAAATTTTTTTTTTTCTGAACAAGACTAGGCAGCCCAAACTAATTATTCAGCAAGCCCACAATTCATTTACCCTTCAAATATATTTACCCAACCCAATTCACATATCCAATATCCAATCCAATTGACAAAAAATTCCCAAAATCTGAAATTGAATCAAAAATTCCCAAAATAAAAACTCCCCAAAATCTGCTCGGCGCCTCGACGTGCTCATCAGTCCACAGTCGTCGCCACTGACCTCAGCGTCGTCTTCTTCAGGTCAGTGGCCACTCACCTCCGCCCTTCTGCCCGTCTGCTGTGCCTGTTCCTCGCCAGTCGCCTCCAACCACCGATTCCCAAAATCTTTGAGAAGTCGTTCGAAGTCTAGTCTAGTCTGCAGCTCTTCTTCAGCTCTTCTGCTCTTGAGTTGCATCTTCAGTGACTCAGTCTTCGTTCAATTGTTCTTCAGTAAGGGGGCATGAAGATGAATACAAAGCGAAATTGCAGAGAACCAACGCCTTTTTCCAATGCTTCAAATTTATCAAATCCAGGTATATCTTAATCTAATTTTAATCCTTATTTTGGGTTTAATATTTTCAAATCTGTCAAATAACTTGTATTTTTCGAATATTAACACTTGTTCAGCGATTTTATTTTTTTTAATCTCCAACTCTATTATATAAATCGACTCGAATATTAAATTTGATGAATTTATCTTATTGCCATCGCATCCAACTCGTTTAGAAATAACAGTAGGAAATCAAATTGATTTTATTCCTGAGATTCGAGTGTGGGTGGAAGTCATTGAGTTATTATGAATTAAAATTGCATTTCATATAAATTTTTGTTTGCGAATTAATTTTTTTTTAATTTCTTTTTCAGGTGTCTGTTTGCGAATTGAATAATAAAACTTTAAGCAATCATTGAGTAACCAATTTACAGATTCCTCTAATTTTTATTTTGCAGATTTATGTGTTTCTTAAGTTTGAATGTTTTGGAGCCGAACATTCTGATTGTTTTCTTCTTCCGGCCAGGAAAACACCATCAATGGAATCAATAGATTCTTCTGGAGAGGAGGAAGAGTAAGGTTTCCTTATATAACCTTGCACATGGGTGTGTTTCTACATGCTTGCCTATTAAAATCATTTCAATTTTTATATGTTACACATTTTTCCTGAGCACAGTGGAGATCTAGTTTACATGATAATATTTGTCTTTTCTCTTTCAGAATTATCTTGCTTCGTGAGAAGAAAGTTTGTTTGTTAATACAATTATTTACTTTGATATTGAGATTGGTAGAAAGACAAAAAAAATAAAAAATAAAATGCTGACTCCTCAATTTTAAGATTAATTTGAGACAAACCCAACTCATTTGAGATTAAGATTACTTTGGGGTTTACTGATGGACAAATGTTTGATAGCGTTCAATACTTTAAAGGAAAAACTTACAACAGCGCATGTGATTGTGTCACCTGATTGGGATTTGCCCTTTGAGCTAATGTGCGATGCGAGTGATCATGCAGTTGATGCGGTATTGGGACAAAGAAAGAATAAAATCTTTCATGTGATATACTATGCAAGTAGAACTTTAACGACGCCCAAATCAACTATGCTACAACCGAGAAGGAATTGCTAGTCGTGGTTTATGTATTCGACAAGTTCAGATCGTATCTTGTTGGGTCTAAGGTTATCGTCTACACAGATCATGCCGCTCTGAAGTATCTTATGACAAAGAAGGATGCTAAGCCGAGATTGATCCGTTGGATATTGTTATTGCAAGAGTTCGATATTGAGATCAAGGATAAGAAGGGCAGTGAAAATGTGGTAGCCGACCACCTATCAAGATTGGAACGGGATGAACCTGAGATGCCAGTTGACATCAATGAAATCTTTCCAGATGAGCAAATTTTTAGAGTAGAAATAGTCCCATGGTATGCTGATATCGTTAACTACCTTGCTAAGTCCATCCCTCCACCAGAGTATTCTAGCCATCAAAGAAAGAAGTTCTTCGCAGAGCTGAAGTATTACTTTTGGGAGGATCCCATTCTCTACAGAAGAGGTGCAGATCAGATAATCAGAAGATGTATTCCTGAAGATGAAGTACCTGAGATTCTAGAACATTGTCACTCTTCTGCATATGCTGGGCATTTTGGAGCTTCAAAGACTGCTGCAATGATACTACAGTCAGGTTTCTATTGGCCTACTTTATTCAGAGACACGTTCGAGTATGTGAAGAGATGCGATCGAAATTTGATGAGGAAATTAACAAAATGTCAAATTTCAACTCGCAATACAATTTACAAGTAAAGTTTGACAAACAGAATTACAATACGATGGCATTTTCTCATTGCAACTTTTTCACACGAAATTGAATATACATTTGAGTGATTTGTGTATAGAATTAGAGAATGTTAACTACAAAAGATAGTGTAACAAAAAAATGAAAATAATGATCAAATACAAAGGAGCTTCTAATTTTATATTAATTTATAAGAAATTAACTTAAAAATAAGAAGAGTCTGTCTGTATGAACACGGATAAAAAAATTATTAAATTCAAAGCATTTTCAGCAAACATCTAAAAATATTATTATCATGAAATTAAAAAATAATATAATAACAACATATGTACTATGTAGTATGTGTTTTGAAATTAAGAGAAAAAGAAAGAAACCTGTAAGGTTTTAAAAATGGCAGTGAGATCAAACCAATCTGTATTAAATCTAAAAAATTTTAATTCAAAGAGAAATAATTTAAATATTAATGGGTTGAAAAATAATGGAAGGTGATCATTGGACGTAGAATTTGAAGAGACAAAGAGACATTTTGTATTGTTAAGAAAAGAAAATGAATGTGCCCTCGGGACATAGTCCAGTGGTGCAAAGGATAAGAGTGAGGTTATCTCACGCCTTGCTGGCAGCCGTAGTGTGGGGGTTCGATTCCTGAGACATGGAATTGGACTCCTTGTAAGCGTAGTGTACAGACAGCTCTTGTTCCCTGACTTGTTGGGGCACATCCCGCGATTTACCTCCCTAAAAAATCTCTAGGGACGGGAAGGTGGGAGCCCTCAAAGTTGGGATTCAACCTTTTTTTTTTTTTTTTAAGAAAAGAAAATGAATGTACGAAAGACAAATTGTGTGTGTATATATATTAGTTTTTTATGTTTGCATACAATAACTTTATTTTGTATAATTTCATAAATATAATTCTCATTTTTCTTCAACCAACCAATTAACTTTATATAATTTGGGCCCTTCACCAAAACGGAACCTTAGGCGACCGCTTATCTCGTCTATACTCAGGGCCGCCACTGGGTATGATCTTCATAGATCTACTATATTGTGGATCACACCTTTAGAAGAACCCACAACCCTTATTTTACTGTTAAAAAAAAGGAAAAAGAAAAAGGAAAAAAGGGGACTACAATCAAAATGCAAAAAAAAATTAAGAAATGAGA